TCGCAATAAAAAACATTTTTTGCCTTTACCCAAAACAATATTTGTGTAATGGGCATCGCAATTTTTCAGGGTCCCTGATACTGGGGTAGTTATTTTTTATTATTAAATTGCGTGTTTTTATGTTCCCACTAACAATAATGCTTAGGAATGTTACAGGCTATCCCATTAATCGGTTTTTTTTTTGCTTTTTGCTTTTTTTTTTTTGTTTTTTTGATAGTTAAATCTACATTCACTTCGTTGGCAAGCAACAAATATAAAAAATACTGGCTAGAGAAAAAGAAAGAATATATATAAAAATAACATCTAACGTGAAATATTTTGTATCTATGCTCATTAAATGCTATAATAATAATTCAATAAACATATGTTACACTCGAGTACGTATGCATTCTGAAAAATAGTTAATAAAAATAACTTAGAGAGACTTGAATATGAAAAGTGACAAAAAGAATGAATAAAAAATTTAAAGAATAAAAATTATGAATCGATTTAAAAGATAAAGTATTCCGAATCTTTGAATCCAATTTTCTTTAAGTTTGGTATGCAAGCAAATTCCAACATTGGTGGAGGTCCACACATCAGTACAATACTTTGAGCATTTTTCATAGGCGCATGCAACCGTTCACGAATCATCGTCTCAGAAACAAATCCTTTTCCATACGGCCAATCTTTAGGTGGATCATCTAATGTATAGTATACTTTGAATCTTTTGTCACGGATTGCAATTCCATCTAATTCATTTTTTAATAATATATCAGATTCACCTCTATTTGCATATATTAAAGACAGTTCAGTGTTGTCCTTCGGGTCTCGAAATACAGATTGAATTACTTGGTATGCAGGTGTTATACCCGATCCACCACAAATTAAACTAATCTTTTTGCATTTATGTAGTGTCTCTTTAGTACCATTTTTAATTTGATATTGTCCACGACCATTATATGCGAATGTACCAAGAGGACCCTTTACTTCAATGCAATCACCAATACGTAATTCTTCCATATGCTGAGACATTAATCCGCCATTTGGATATTTTGGATGTGTATTCTTGAAATAAACTTTAATAAGTAAATCAAAGTATCCTGGAGATATTTTGATTGGCGTATAGGATCGAATAACAGTTTGATCATTTATTAAAGCGCGAATCAAGAAATGATTTCCTATTGGCAAGTCAAGATGATTTGGAGACTGAAAAGTAAATCGGAATATACGTGTATTATTATTAATACATTTTTTATCGGTTAGAGAACATGACAACCATTGAATTGTTGATTGATTTGATATATTTTTTTCTGATGACTTTGGCATATAGTTATCAATTAAGTCACCGATATAATAATCAGATAACATTGATTTCGCTTTAGAAGAATGAATTGCATTGAAATCGCCTGAACAATCCGTTCCAGCATTCATTAGAATGCTATCAGCACCTATTAAAGTCAAATTAATAAAGTTTATAAGAAATACATAACAAGTCATATAAATAAATGGTATTATCGACATACCTCCCGGATGCTGTTCAAGAAATTTCGTACAATCATAGACCCTTTTGTCTACAATTATCCAATTCGGCGATATTGGTGTTGGGCTTTTTGGTCGATATCTGTTCCTATCTATTCTCTTATTCGTTGTGAAGAAATTTGTGTAAGAGCATGGGACTCCTCGCAGAACACACAACCTAAGGACATCACCTGGAATGTTATGGGAATGATGAATAATTGTCATTTCCGTGTAAAAGTTAGTACCATAACTCAAGGAAGTGATGTGGCTTTACTGTTCGCACACCCTACCCAACCTGGTGAAAATCCTGGTGGTTGGATGCCCAAGCCTGACGATTCTTTAAATTCTATGCCGCCCAAAAAAGACGAGCCTGATAATGGCATGCCCAAATTTTCTATTGATCAGATTTCGAAACATAATTCTAAAGAAAATTGTTGGATAATTGTAGACAAAAGGGTCTATGATTGTACGAAATTTCTTGAACAGCATCCGGGAGGTATGTCGATAATACCATTTATTTATATGACTTGTTATGTATTTCTTATAAACTTTATTAATTTGACTTTAATAGGTGCTGATAGCATTCTAATGAATGCTGGAACGGATTGTTCAGGCGATTTCAATGCAATTCATTCTTCTAAAGCGAAATCAATGTTATCTGATTATTATATCGGTGACTTAATTGATAACTATATGCCAAAGTCATCAGAAAAAAATATATCAAATCAATCAACAATTCAATGGTTGTCATGTTCTCTAACCGATAAAAAATGTATTAATAATAATACACGTATATTCCGATTTACTTTTCAGTCTCCAAATCATCTTGACTTGCCAATAGGAAATCATTTCTTGATTCGCGCTTTAATAAATGATCAAACTGTTATTCGATCCTATACGCCAATCAAAATATCTCCAGGATACTTTGATTTACTTATTAAAGTTTATTTCAAGAATACACATCCAAAATATCCAAATGGCGGATTAATGTCTCAGCATATGGAAGAATTACGTATTGGTGATTGCATTGAAGTAAAGGGTCCTCTTGGTACATTCGCATATAATGGTCGTGGACAATATCAAATTAAAAATGGTACTAAAGAGACACTACATAAATGCAAAAAGATTAGTTTAATTTGTGGTGGATCGGGTATAACACCTGCATACCAAGTAATTCAATCTGTATTTCGAGACCCGAAGGACAACACTGAACTGTCTTTAATATATGCAAATAGAGGTGAATCTGATATATTATTAAAAAATGAATTAGATGGAATTGCAATCCGTGACAAAAGATTCAAAGTATACTATACATTAGATGATCCACCTAAAGATTGGCCGTATGGAAAAGGATTTGTTTCTGAGACGATGATTCGTGAACGGTTGCATGCGCCTATGAAAAATGCTCAAAGTATTGTACTGATGTGTGGACCTCCACCAATGTTGGAATTTGCTTGCATACCAAACTTAAAGAAAATTGGATTCAAAGATTCGGAATACTTTATCTTTTAAATCGATTCATAATTTTTATTCTTTAAATTTTTTATTCATTCTTTTTGTCACTTTTCATATTCAAGTCTCTCTAAGTTATTTTTATTAACTATTTTTCAGAATGCATACGTACTCGAGTGTAACATATGTTTATTGAATTATTATTATAGCATTTAATGAGCATAGATACAAAATATTTCACGTTAGATGTTATTTTTATATATATTCTTTCTTTTTCTCTAGCCAGTATTTTTTATATTTGTTGCTTGCCAACGAAGTGAATGTAGATTTAACTATCAAAAAAACAAAAAAAAAAAAGCAAAAAGCAAAAAAAAAACCGATTAATGGGATAGCCTGTAACATTCCTAAGCATTATTGTTAGTGGGAACATAAAAACACGCAATTTAATAATAAAAAATAACTACCCCAGTATCAGGGACCCTGAAAAATTGCGATGCCCATTACACAAATATTGTTTTGGGTAAAGGCAAAAAATGTTTTTTATTGCGA